ATAAGATAAAACCAGTTGTATTAAAATAAAATCATCAAGATATTTTTAAAAAACACAATTATGACATAATTTGTGCTTCTTTACTAACGTATTATATGACACAATCTAGTGACAAATTTGATAAATAACAGATTTTAAAAGTATAATGGGCATACATAATTTCAGGATATCTTTATTCTAATATGAAACTCTGAATTTTGTTGGTGACAAAGTCATCATTGCTAATATTAATATTGTGGTTTATCTGCATTCATGAAGAAAATCTTAATTACCTTTAGAGATTAATCCAAATAAAACTGTAAATTTTTTTCCCCATTAAAATTCTTCTGAACTTTATCCATAAGTCCATGCCCTAAAGGGACAGTACATATTAAGAAAAGTCTTGGCTATATGTCTTCTTTGGTGGCTTTTTCTAAGTTTGTCAACAACTTATCAGGTTCTTCACCTCTTGCTTAGCCTTTGTCCTTCCGTTTTCTCTGGAACATTCTTGCCTTGCTCTTAATAAGACTGATTTCTTTTCATATTTCAGATCTCAGTTCATCAGCCACTTTTTCAGGAAAAAAAAAAAATTCAGATCTCAGTTCATCAGCCACTTTTTCATCAACCCTTTTTCTTCTAGTTATCTTGTTCATTTTCTTTGATTGTCTTTCTTTAAATATATGAATTCGAAGGTAGAAACCATGTCTTTCTTGCCTTTCAGTATATCTCCAGTGCTGAGAACAGAGTATTTGGCATTTGTTGCTTGAAAAGTATTATCAAATGAATCTGAAGCCTATATTATGCATTGTATTTTTAGTTATTTTCCATTCTTTCATATGGGTGTAGAGTGGAAATTATAATTCATTGTTATTGTTAATGATGCTTTGTAATATATAGGCCCTCAGTGACACTTGACAATTCTTTTATACGTTGCTTGGTGATTCTTTATTACATTGTTCCTGGCGAATCAGGTTCTTTATACAGTGCTTCCTGTCTCAGTAAATGGCACTGTCAGTGTTCAGGCCAGTGTCTTAGGCATCAGCCTTGCCACTTACTCCCTCTCATCTCTAGTATCCAGCCATCATGAAGACCTGTAGATCTTACTTCCTGCCATCTCTGGAATCCTTTCTGGCCGTGTCACTACTATCCTTTCTCACTGTAGGGAAAACTTGGATACTGTAAAAACATTTTCCTTTAAATGAAATGAAAATGCTTTAAAAGGGTGAGACTGTTTTATTGAGTCAAGTTTTAATTCACTATTCCTTGTCCAGGAATTTTTTGTTTCTTTTAAATCAGTCTCAAGGGAGAGAGAGAGAATAATTTACGAGTTAGAAGGTGTGAATGGGATCAAAAGATTGGTTAGAGGGATTAGCTTTGGCAAGGAAGAGATTCATTTATGGACCTTGTAGCTGGCCAAGGATTTTAGGGATTTTGGTATTTATCCTGAGTACTTGAGAAGCCATCGAAGCGGTGGCTTTATGTTTTGAAAGTAACATTCTGACTTTTGTATTGGCAACAGAGTATGTGGATATGAGGAAACTGATTAGAAAGGTGTTGCAGTAGTTCAAAAGTAAGTGATGCTATTTTAAGGAGGGGCAAGATGAAGAAAAGTAGATGGATTCCAGTAGGGATCCGAGTCTTTGGGTTAAATGGATATGGGCAATAGCAAGAGAAAGAAGTGGCAAAAGTGATTTCTGGTATTCCTGTGTGCCAGAATACCAGAATACTCAGTGCATTGACTAGGGTTAGCCATGCACTGAGATAGAGAATGCTGTAAAAGTACTAAGTTTGGGATGATGGAAGATAACTTAGGTTTTAGTTTATATTAAGTGTACATAGACTTATAAACATACAGACAGTTGGCACTCCATATCCATGAATTCCACATCCATAGATTTAACCAACTGCCAATCAGAAATATTAAAAAAAATAATAACCTAGAGTGCCTGTAATTAGTACAGACTTTTGTGGGTTATTTTTTTCTTAAATAATAGAGTATAACAACTATTTATGTAGCATTTAGATCGTGTTAGGTATCATAGGTAATCTAGAGATGACTTAAAGTATGCAGGAGGATGTGCATATTTTATATGCAAACAGTATGCCATTCTATGTGAGGGACTTGAGCATCTGTGGATTTTGGTGTCTGTGGAGAGTCCTGGAGCTAATCCCCCACAGATACTGAAGTATAATTGTACTTTACATTAGAGGTTTTGCTTATGACCTTTGATTAAAACTTGTTTTACTTTTTTTTTTTGCCTAGTTATTAGCTTTCTCTCTGAAATATATAGGAGTCATTCTCTTCTCTCTCTTGCATGAATCTGTTGGGAAGAAGATTGTAGTTTTTTGTTGTTGTTGTTGTTTTTTTCCATTAACCCTGTCAGAAGACAAACAGATCTCTGACAAAGGAATACAATTTAAACACATTTTAAAAACAAACATTAAATGTTAAGCAAATTTGAAACAGTGGGATAGTTTTCTTTGTTCATTAATATCTAGACTCAGACAACATGTTACATTGTATCAGGCCCAGGCAGTCAGTTTTGTGGTTACTTTTGAGACCCTGTTGGCCCTTCTTCCTGGTGGTGTGACCCCTAGGAACATAGTCCCTTAAACCCTGTTTCCCTGATCTTTTCCCAGTAATAAGGCATTTGTTGCAATATAGTCTCAACTCCATTATGTTTTATACACAAGAACTGTTTTGCTTTTTTGAGGCTTGGCTGTGGATACCGATTATGAACAGACACAAAATCTTTAGCACCTTCTCTTTATGAGTTGTTCTTGGATTCATTTGCCCAGGATGCGTTCAGGTGGCATAGCAGACAGAGGACATGGCCTTACAGAGCATTAAAGAATCATCATGGGAGCAGCGAACAATTTTATTACTGGAAAATTCGGTGGTAGTGGATTTTCTGTCCCATTTTAGTATTTAATATACATCATCTGCCTTCTGGGAGTAATATATAAATGATATATTGAAATTCTTGGAGATAGAAATATATGTCAACAGGATTTTTTTTTTTCCTACTTTTTAAAGCTATGTTAATCTCATAGTGAAATTTCCTATTTAAACAGTAAAAAATGGAAGAAGAAAGTTTACCTAAATAGGCTGGAGAAACTGGTTTTACCTTCTCATGACAAAATGATAGGTGACTAAACAGTGGGATGGGTAAATGCAGTTACTTTTATCTATTCAAAATTATCAGTTGTGCTTTAAAAATAAGCATATTTTATAATGTCTGGGTGCTACCGCCTGCTGTTTACAGTTGTGCCTCAGGGCCCAAAGATGCCGGAGATAAGCAGTAATGCGGATGGTTTTCTTTTTTTTTTTTTTTTTGGGGCGGAGTTTTACTCTTGTTACCCAGGCTGGAGTGCAATGGCATGATCTCGCAATCTCTGCCTCCTGGGTTCAAGCAATTTTCCTGCCTCTGCCTCCTATGTAGCTGGGACTACAGGCACGTGCCACCATGCCTGGCTAATTTTTATATTTTTACTAGAGACGGGGTTTCACCATGTTGATCAGGATGGTCTCGATCTCTTGACCTCATGATCCACCCGCCTCAGCCTCCCAAAGTGTTGGGATTATAGGTGTGAGCCACCGTGCCTGGCCAGTGCAGATGCTTTTCAAAGATTCTTGTCACAGTTAAATAGCAACTGAAAAGAAGGGAAAATAACTTGGGGATCGGATATACTTTCTTTTCTCTTGTCTTTATTGCTTTTAATATCAGGTGCCCCTCCAGTGTGTGAAAATGGTATGAAGCCTGGAGGCCTGGCGAAGGATGAAGAACAAGCAGAGAATGGGAATATAAAGGGACAGACCAGTTTTGCTCAGCTCTAGACTTCTTTTTATCAGCTGTAGTGTCAAATAATAGCAGAACAGTGTAATGATTAAAAACGTGATCCTTGAAATGGAAACCTGCTGCTTGACTAGCTATGTGATCTTAGGTATTTAACCTCTTACATGAGTCTTTGCTATCTCTTAGTGTTGTTTATAAGGACTATATGAGATCATGTATGTCAAGTGCTTTAACACAGTACCAAGCATACTGCTTGTACAATCAGTAAATTGTTTCTACTGCTGTTATTAATGGTATTATTTTTGTAGAATTTGCTAGAAATAGAATATCAATAAAATTCCACTTGCGATTATATGTAATTATGCTGTATACAAAGAAGTGGGGAAGAAATCTCAATTATTTGGTTGAATTAGAATTTCAGCACTTATATACTTGATCAAAATAAAGTAAGTATTGAAAGTTATTGTGTTTTCATCTTCTGAAGTACCTATTAACACTTTGAACATAAAGATTACATAGTTTCCATACCTTTTGACCAAAAGCAACGGTGTCATTTAAAATTATATTTTTATGTATACAAAAATCACATAGTACTGGGATGAAAAAGGCACAATTAACAAGTGGTGAGATGTTTAAATACACTGTCAGCTTATTTTGCTTAAGAAAATGACTTGAATATTGTGGGAAAGTCAAAAGTAAATTAATAGTAGAATATTTATTTTAAAGTAAGGATTTTCAACAGTACCAAGACACTTTACTGTTTGGTCCACTCCCCTTTGAGGACTCACAGTGTCTGATGTCGGATTACTATCATTTTTCAAGATAATGTTAAAAATAGAAAAATTTTTTATAGATTTTATAAATTTTATAGATTTTAAATTGAAGCTTGAGATAGGAACAATTTAGATGTCTGTTAAGAAATCTGTTTTTCATGAGTCATTAAAAAAAAAAAACTTTTTCTGGCTGAAAATTACTGTCTTTTAAAGATCCTCCACTGTAGTCATAATTTGGACAAACAGCACTCGAGTTCTCTATGTACACATCTGTGTATGCATACACGCATACTCTTTTTTTTTTTTTTTAAACTTTTGAAGCATAAATCAGAGAGCATTGTTCAACACTGAGGGAAGGATTCCTTTTGTCTTTTGTCGGACTTACTGATCTAATTTGGTATTATCCTCTTGTGTGTGACTTCTATTTAATAATTCTGGTGTTTCTGTAGTCATAAAGAATAAGTGAAAAACAGACTGAAACCAAGAGCTCTGGTGTGTGTTACACAGATCAGCTTTCAGAATCACTTGATTTAGAATAGAACACTTAGGCTATGATTTGAAATGGAGATAAGTACTTAAACACTTTCTGTGTTTTCAAGTTTCGCAAATGTTATAATTGTCTTCCTGGTGATTTATCCTTTAATAATAGAATCGGGGTAAAAAATGATTATTAGAATTAAGAAACATTCTGACTAAATTAAGATTGACAAATTTACATACTTGTATGGAATAAAAACACTATTTTAAAGTTAGTAGGTTAGTATTTCTTGATTTTAAAATTCATGTTAGAGTCCAACGAAATTACTGTGAAAATACTTGTATCATAACACTCAGTAAAGTTTTTTGTTTTCCTTTATTATTAAAAACTTGATAAAAGTGCATTGTATACATTGTTCATCCTAGAATTGTGTTTGTCAAACATTTGTAGTTTTCCCCATCCCTCCCAAAAAGATTTTTAATTTGTGATGCAGAATACTTGTCATCTACCAAATTAAAAACTGCAGGTTTGTAAAGTTGGCACTCCAAGAAAGAATTAGGTGCCATAAAATGATTAAGTATTGGCATGTGTATACCTTCTGTCTGGAAATAAACTTCCCGTATGTTGCATTTTGGCAGACATGCGTCTTAAAAATGTATTGAATGAAACTGCACCTGCGCTCTTTATCTTTTTTCAACAGTACATCCTGTTTGTGCCTTTAAGTAATTACTTTTGCTTCAGTTACTTTTACAGATATATTTGAGTCAGATATACATGAAATTAAATGGTGGTACGGTTTAAGAATGCAGTAATTGGTCTAATTGAATAACTCATTGAAATAGTAGTTTGGTTCTTAACACCAGTGAGGAAACAAAACTTGTCTGTTTTGAAACATTTAATAACTATAAAAACTTGAGCCTGAGACACATTAATTTTTCACATTTTATCATATCATGTCAAAATAATTTTCCCTATATATGTATTAATAAAAGAAATTTAAAAGAATATCTCAATTATTTTTAAAAAGTAAATACTTTCATGAGAACTGCATTGATGAAACATCTGAACTTTATAATGTGTTTGTGGAATAACTCAACTAAATCTTATTGCATTTAGAACCCTAAAATAGGTCAAAAAATTTGTCCTTTGCACAATTACAATTTCCTTAAAATTGATAGTGATGTTTTATTTACATCTCATTATATATTAAAATGAAAAGCTAAATCTGAAATGAAGGATCTTTGACAGTCTTCATTTCTTGAATTAAAATTTATGTGGAAAATATATGCAGATATATTTTATTGGCCCTAACAGAAGACTTAAACCACTGATTTATGCATGCTTGTTATTGCATGTTAATACACAGAATCCTCTTACACAGTTTTTTAAATAGATTCTTTTGGGAAACGTTTTGTTATATAATGTTATAGTTTTCAGAATTACCTTCTTTAGAAATTAAAAAAATACTTTTTGAATTTCTTTATGTGATGAGTTTTAACTAAAACTTGTCCTATGGATGTAATCAGTTTTAACTCTACATGCTTTTAGCAATATTTACAAATTGCACATTTGAAAAAAAATTGTCTTTTCTAGTGTAGTTTACGGTGGCGATACCTGCCTGCCTTTTCTTTTGCTGCGTTGGCACAGGCATTGTGCTTATTTTGTTGTAAATGGTTCCAGTATTTTATCAGTTCACTAGGCTGGAACTGATGAGAGGTAATTAGGTGACTGTATTTACAGCTTGAATAAGAAACTCGCCAGTGATTGAACACAAACTCATTGGGAGGGGGCACAGGATCAATTCTCAGCTTGGCAAGACAGATCCCTACGTACACATCTTCCAAGTGCAAACGGCGGATACCTAAAGAGACTTTAAAAATCTTTTCTGCCAGATCTCCAGAAAAAACATAACCAGTTCCAGAACAGAAGACAGGATAACGCTCACTTGGGTAGAGGTCTGGTGGCATGTACCACTTGCTATCTTTGTTTCGATTGGGTGCATATCCTCGCATTAGGTAACCAGTAAAGTAGTTACGTCTTGGAGGCAGATCTGGCTTCAGTAACTTATGTATTAAATATTCAGTGTTGACAAACATGTCACTGTCAGTTTTCATAACATATGGAATATGTGGACAGTATGTTGCTACCCAGTTCATGCCCATTAGTGTTTTAGTGGTCAAATTATAGTACGTATCTAAGTATTCCTGTTGAATTATATCATGATACTGTCTGCTTTCTTCCAGAATTGCACGTTGAAGGTAGCCGTTTAGCTTAATACTTAAGCCCAGCAAAAATATTCTTGTGATTTGAATACCAGGTGCTAGACTTTCATTGCCCCAAGTTTGCCGAATAGCTCTTCTGGCTTCTATTTGTCCAGGCTCTGCAGCTATTAGTAGTATTAAAAAAGGGCTTTTCTCTTGGCATTTTCCAGGCTCATTAATAATATATTTGAAATGGTAAGAATTTGGATGTCCAGTACCTTTTTCATTGTAAATACTTCCATTGGCACCAAGTGTATTCTCCAGGCCTGTAACTCCCTGTGGTGACAGGTCTGTGTTATTAGAGTTGGTTGCTGTTTGAGGCCTCAGGGTTTGAGGGACTGTTTCTTTCCAAATGTTCCGAAGGGAGCTGTGGTTTGTCTCACTTTTTGTTGACCGAAATCCTCGGAAAGTGTATGTCACAGGGTTTTCTTTGAATCCAGCTCTGCCTGGCAGCCAGTCATGATGATTGAAAAACAAAAACATAGCAAAAAGAAACACTAGAGAAAGTACTCCAATAAGATGGGTGCGGAATAGAGACCTCTTGGCATTCCAGGTCATCTTTGCAAAGCAGCAGTGTCTTCTCCTCCACTGAAGCATGTTGTAAATGTCCAGTAGTGGGATATGAGAGATTGGTGACGAAAAATGTGCTCCTCTCCTTAATATTATTCTTTGGCTGTCATTTTCCAATTCAGTCACATTGTCTCTTTTGCAGTTATTCTATAAAAATGAAGCACAAAAGTTTACAAAACTGCCTGAAAGGGACTTTGGATACTAATATAATCAGGGCACATAGGACTGTCTTAGGCTCTAAATATATAACCCAGGAACAAAACTTATAATTTATTTCCCCTTGGCAGCATAACTGAGAACAAGATTGATTTATTTAAAAATATACCTTTGTTGCACAGTGAGCATTTTAAAGAGATAAAGTAATGGATTAATTTAATTGTCTTGGTACACTGGTCATTTGTACTTTTGACCCAAGTTGAAGATTTAAAAGTTGCATGTAGGAGAAAAAAAAGTTACTGGATTTCTGAGAAAGGTTGTGTAAAACGGCCTTGAGAGCAGATGGAAAATGTATTGGCATTAATTAAAATTGATTTGACATACTATTGGTGGTATGGTGCACAGTCAGAGGCCTTTTTTGTAAAATGGTCATGTATCAGTTATGGGACAGACGGTGCAAGGTTGATTATGGCAGAGTTCTGTTAGTCACAGTACACTGCTTGGCATGTTTCCATTGGCCCCTACTGTGTTGAGAAAGTCAATGAGAAGATGCACCTGTCAAAATTAATTTTCAGGGTCCAATAACTTCAGTGTAGGATTTTTAGACAGTAATAAATGATTAACACTTTCAAGTATCTTTAAATTTTAACTTTTCATTGTATGTATGAAGTATTCATGATGTAATTGTTCTTAGACTTAAGATTAATTTTAAAACATAGCATGTAATTATCTGATTATCAGTGGCTTTGGCAGAACACTGTTAACGTATCTTGGTTGAGTCTCCATGTTAGAATTAAAAGAGCTACTTTGAAACTATTGAAAATTCTGAATTTCACATAATATATTTTTAAATATTCTTGAGTTGTGCATTATTCTGAATTTACAAGCAGAGAATTTCTTAAATTTTTAGAACTTATGATGGCACAGTTAGGGTCCTATATTTTAAACGGTTATGAGATGGCAGTATGTAAGGTTCATAATGCCATGTATTAAGAACCGGTTATGTATCTTGCAACAAGGTTTTCAGTGCATCACACAGATTTGTTCATGTTTGTTCTTAGTGTTTCTGTTGTTGTTTTTTAGTTTTGGGGGACCAATATGTTGAGGGAGTAGAGATGGGCAAAGAGCTATAGTTTAACTCCATTAAAGGAGGATAAAACTTTCTGGCAAGAAGGCGTGATCAATATGTAATTTTAATTTTTCCAACTTTTTATTTGGAAAATGGTTTCTTTAAGCAAAAGAAATCAATTGAAAAGTTTTACTATAGGAGCATTTGTTTATTTGAAATTACAGTATGTACATAAATACATGTATGTATTTAGCCTTTAATATTGAGATAGTCATGGTTAATAATTTGTTTAACCTTGGCATAAACTTAATTACCTATAGGAAATAGAATTTACATGGAAATCTTCATGTAATTGAATAGTTATAAAGTAAAATTCACATACATAATGTTAAGTACTTTGAAAATATTGATTGAAAGTGTTAGGCATAAATGAATGAAAGTACTATTATAGTAACAGCCACTAGGAGGAGCAAGTAGGTGGGAATTTGAACAAGTATCTAAGGTCCAACCGTGTAGGACCAACATTTGAAAATTTTCAGTTTCTGAAATTACAGAGTACTATTAGAAGTTATAATATTTCTAAAATGTAAAAAATTATTTAAGCATTTTGAAAGATACGAACAACTTTTTTTAAGTTTGGAATTTTAAAAGCAAATAATCGAGTTTGCTATTTGTTAGAATTTACGTGAATTTAAACTCAACATTACTGTAATGAAAACCAGGGCTATTCACTGTACCAACAAAACATAATTCTGCTGTTAGCTAAGCTGGAAATAATACAGCTGAGCATTCTGATTTAGAAACGCAGTGTTTTCCTTCTTTTTCTTGTAAATAGTTGGCCCTTTTTTTAGACCAGGGAACTATTTTGAAGCTTTTATTTCCAAATGATATATTTGGTAAATAGTAGTGACTCTCCTCCTCCACTTCATAAAGACACCAGTAGATATAAGGGTTATGTATGTGAATTTAAAGGAAACAAAAGTTGCTTTTAAAATTTATTTGAAAATCTGTTTTAAGTGTTAAAAAGGTAAATTAAGTGTATCTATTTTCTGCTGATAAAATAACACTTGGAATCTGGTTGAAGGCCAATCATTTAGTTTTTTTTTTTAAGTGTAAATTTATGGTTTAAGAAGGAGTAAACAATGGCAGATGTTTGAATGGATGTTTGAGTAAAGGACTGAGTAAATGAATGATGGAAAATAATCATAATTTATGGTTTTTTTTAAGAATGTACCTGATGTGATGTCTCCAAAATATTTTAGTATTACAGAAAACAGCAAATTATTGCATACTGTAATCTAGCATAAATACACAGTTTTAGTCTTAATAAGATTTTATAACAATGTGTGATGGGGTGCATCTTAATTTAGACCTCATGGTATTTGTATGTTTGTAGATATTAAGCTATTGAGATATTAAATCTATATATAACTATAAATCTCCTGGTGATAAATGAAGTGCATTTGTCTAGCCTTAAAAAAATTCCTTATTAAAAGTTTCTCAGGTCTTATAAAATTTTTTGTTAAAAAGAAAATAAAAATGACCATGCCTCCTTTTTATTAAATGATAAAATTGTTCTCCAGTTACTGCCTGTTGTATTTTAATTCTTAAAAAGAGAGCGTAAGACAAGAAAGTTCTATAGTATGCAAAATAGTTTTGCACTTTTACATTTTTAGAAGAAAAATAGCTTTGGTTTATCTCTTCTGTTTTGATAATATCTATACTTTATTAATGTGTATTTACATTTTATGAATGAAGTTAATGGGGAGAACATTACTGTAAAGTGCTGTTCAGTACACACACACACACACACACAGTTTTTGTCATTTGGCTTTTAAAAGTGTTGATATCTTTAGTCTGTTAAAATAGTCCTAGATTTAAATGGTGATGGTTTAACAGAAAAACTTATTTTAAGATGTATAGGTTATAAAACTGCTTAATTGGTGACTTTAATATTGAGAGATAAAGGTACCCAGAGGGACTTGAAATTTTTACAACCATATTTTTTAGTACTATTTGATATTAGTCTTTTATTAGGATAAAAATTCATCATTGAGAGTGATGTTGAACTGTAATAGAGTCTGGTAAACTTGTTTAATCTTCATTTTGGAATGCAGTACTTACATATTTTTTAAAATGTTTGCCTTTTGTGATTATTAGATAATTACTGAGTTGTAGAGTAAAATTGAGGAGAAATCAGGATCTTTGATAGATTTGTAAAATTTTAGAAATGTCTTTGAATTCTTGAACCCTAAGTTGCTATTCTAACTATCATTGTTGCTAGAATAGTTTATTTGATTTATCTGTGCTCTGTACTCACATATAGTGGCGGTAGTTCATTATTACATATTCACATAGCCTGGAAGCATATTAGCTACATTTATATTTAATTTTTTGACCTTGTATTGCTGTTTGTGGATATTTTTGTATCAGAGTATTTTCATATTGTTTTTGATTTTCACTTTTAAAATGATCATCAGCAACAACCTTAAATTTGATCATTTGCAATTAGTCTTTTACATAAAATACAAGCTCACTATTTCAAATGGTGAATTTTTAAAACAACTATTGATGTCTCTTTGTTTAAAGTTCTATTCATGGACAGTGTAATAACACCAGACTCTGTTGTGGTGTTATGCATAAACTCACACTACCTTATGTGATCTTATGCTAATGCTTTCCTTTTAGTATCTTCTTGTAGCTTGGTAATACTTAAAATTTGTTGGATATTCTCTTTGGTTGTGTTCATTATCTTAATTTAGGGAGATGTTGGAGGGAAGATTTTGTTACTAAAAGCTGTTATGTATTAAGGTTTTGTTTTAAAGGACTTTGAAAAAAAGCTCTTAAGGTTATCCTTGCTACTATTTAATGTAATTTCACTGCATTGTCTTTTTTGATAGCCATTTTAAAGAGAGCATTTAATTTACTAGATAAGCATTCAGTATGACCTAATTTGGTAGGATATTGCTGTGTTTTCAGTGAAGGGCTACAGATTTCTTATTTTAAGTTCAATTTCTTAAGGAATCCTTTAAACACATCTTCTTATTTGCCTTTTCCCTCTGATGTCTATAACCCAGAATTATTCCACGCTACATGTTTAGCTGAATAAAGCAGTGACAGCTTGTCTTCTAAACAATGACAAATTTTAAAATCATATATTAAGAAACCCTTTCATAGTTTCAAGGGCAGTGAACTGAATGAACTATCTTATCAGGTATTAGTGCCTCCAGGGCCATAGAAAGGTAACACATTTAAATGACTATCATACACAAGATATTGACATACCTTCCTTGGTCAGGCCATCTATGTGGAGAGGATTATGCCCACTGAAAATACTTTTGGCACGCCATCACTTCAGCAAAAAAGATGCTATCGAACATGCGCACATCCCCCAACAGTCTGCCTCCTGCGATTGCTTTTCACAGTATCCAAAGTGTCCATCTGTCTTCTTGTCTTCGAGTTACCCTCCTTCTTCATATGGGTCCTAGTCTTCTGAAATTTTCCCTTTCTTTCATTTTCTCTCTCTTTCATTAAACAAAAGAGCTATAGTTGTCCGTTCTGCTTGTAGCACTGTTGACTCTTCCCGACAGTTGATGCATTGAAGCTTTCTACATCTGCTGTTTTCCTGGCTGGACAATGCAGTGCTGTGTTCTCGTCTCAGTATCCATATTTCTAGTAATAACGCTGAGCTGCAATGTAAAGCAGCCAGAGCTAAAATAATAGTGCTTCAGTTGTGTTGGAAAAGAATAGGATTTACCTCTCTTCTTTCGTTGTTGCCTGGCAGCTGCAGGAAGGATTTTGAGCAGTTTTAATGGGGTTTTAGTCTATAATATGAAATCCACAGTTCCTCAGCTGCTGCACAGGCAGGCAGCAGTTTAAATGTGGGCTTGACAGATGCTCTCTCTGACAGAGCAGAATTTAACGTCACTGCTTGGCTGAATCCCACGTGATTGTTTGCATTCATTTTGACTAAAAACCTAAGGTAGGGAGAAGCTTAGAGATTTTGCTTTTACGTGATAAATTATATATGTTCAATGCAAGTGTAGTGATGAGTGAATAACATGAAAAGGTGATGATTATGAAGTGAATGGTTATGATTTTATTTTTTCCAGCTTATTTCCTTTTTTTAACTTTATTCTTAAGTACAGGCTTTCTAAATGTTTTCTGTGTTAGATGTTGGCTTCGTGTTTCTTACATGCTTTTATAGGGTGTAAGCAGTATAAGCTTTTGTCTGTAAGTTGGTATAATTTAACCCCTTCAGTGCATTCTCCTCTTGAAGTTTTTTTTTTCCTGCCTTCAAATTGCTCTTGATTTTAGTAATCTCTAGTTAAAACCTATGGCTTCTGTTGAAACCATATATCTTTCCTCCCCTTTTTGCCTACCCCCCTTTGTTTTCTGGGGTTTATATAAATAAGGTGTCAATGGATTACTTTACTAATGCATGATGTGATACAGCCCACTTCTTTTTTGCTCTTATTTGGTTTTTGGTGTTCTTGATGGCAGAAAACTTTATTTTAAATCACTTTTTAATGTTGGCATTTACTTGTTTTTTCTTCTTTTTAAAATTACATGTATCATAGAATTCAATAAAATGATATATAATAGGTATAGCACACTTGTGCAGGATCTTCTTGGGGGCAATGAAATTTTACTAATTATGTTTACCTGTTCTAATGTTTCAGGAAGATTTAATAACTTGCCATGAAGCAGATTTTATAAGCACTGCAATACTCACTGAGATGTTTCTGGGGCTGGCACCTTCTTTTTTTACTGCCAAGCAGTGAGGAAGGTTTGTTTTATTTTTTATTTTTTTGTTATAAATAGCCTTTATTATCAGTTTTTCCTCTGAAACTCTAGGGACAGTAATCTAGTCCTAGAAAGTTACAGTTTTGGAGCTTAAGCTAAATGTTTACAGTTACATACTCTTCATCTCACCTGCCTCCCCCATTAATATCTGTGATTTCAAATGAATATAGATTTATATTTTCTCTGATATTTAAAAAATTTTTGTACACATATTTTTGAGCTTTGCTGATGAAATGTACTTTGTAGTTTTAAGAACCCCACTGTATTAGAAATGTTAGAAGGAACATTAAAGGAAAAGAAAAGAATTTTATAGATAGGAAACCTAAAGCCTAGATTGAGCTTTGACTTCCCCTAGTTAAGTTTGAAGGAGAGAACTAAAACCCAAGTTTTTTGTAGTCTGTATCCATCTATACCACAGTTCTCACTACCTTTTAAAAATTCCTTGACTAGATAACAGAACCTACTTAAGATAACTTATTTTCCAGAAGTACAGGTTCATTTTTGTAGATCAGTATTTATTTATTGGATTCCTCATATGGGATTTGACTGTGAAGCTAGCCACAGTGACCAATTATGGAGTGTTTACTCAAAATCAGATTGCGTGCTAAGCTTACTTGAGCTGTTATTGCAAATGACTCTCTTATAATAGTTTTATTATTATAATGCCCACTTAAAAGATGAGGAACCAGTGCCTAGAGTTGCAAAATAATTAGTCCAAATATTAGTTAAATACTGATAAGAAAAGAGGCCAAGCTGGGAATTGAAGAAGGATTATCTAAATTCTTATTCTCTGTGTGTGTTTTTTAATCAATCTATTATTGCCATTATTCTCTGTTATTATATTACATGGAACTGCTAGAGAAATTGTGAAATTTTTTTTTCTAACACTGGCACAGCATATCCAGCAATCATTAATAGAATAATAAATGAATATTTTATATTTTCACTTTTTCAACAGATAAAATGTATCTGTTGAAAAAGTGAAAATATAAACTATTCATTTATTGGTTAACTGCTATGTACAACATTTGCATTTAGGCATAGCTTATTAAGTGTAGGTGATACAAAGTTGATTTAGAGACATTCCCTACCTCTTTCTCCAGGGAAGGACTAAACAGTTTTATTTTTTTTGGCCAGTTCTTTTGATTGTATTTTTTTGATGTCTCCCGGGATTATTATACATCTTGATTATTAAGAGAGCCTTATGGGTAACCTACTCATTAGTGCTTCTCTACATTATTGGGTTGAGTCCCTGAATTTCCAGTGGGGTTTCCCCCTGCTGTACGTGCTTGTTAAGGAGCAAGTATTTAAACAGCAAGAAGCTTCTAAATATTACTAACAAAAGGTGCCTGTGTACTTAACTGGAATTTACTTCAAACCTTAAAGTATACCCGCAACCTGTTTCTTTCTTTTTCTTTTTTTTTTTTTTTTTTTTTTTTTTTAAGAGACGGGGTTTCACTCTGTTGCCCAGGAGTGCAGTGGCACAATCTTGTCTCACTGCTGCTTCTGCCTCCCAGATTCAAGAGATTCTTGTGCCTCAGCCTCCCGAGTACCTGGGATTACAGACGTGGTCTACCACACCCAGCTAATTTTTGTATTTTTAGTAGAGACGAGGTTTTGCTGTTACCCAGGCTGGTCTCAAACTCCTGACCTCAGGTGATCTGCCTGCCCCAGCCTCCCAAAGTGTTAGGATTACAGGTGTGAGCCACAGTGCCCAGCCAACCTGTTTTTTAAGTTTATGTTAAGCTAGTTAAGAACTTTATGTAAAGTACAGAAAAACAAGGCAGATGTGAGATTAAAGTCTCTTTAGTAACTTTTTCTGGCAACCTACGTGTTCCCAGTCAAGAGAAACTAAAAATCCTATAACAGGAGAGCTTGTAGAAGTTCTTCCTTTAGTCTACTTTCTTTTAACATCTGAATTCTATGGTTAAACTAACTCAGTAAGTGTGACAGGTTTCTTTGTCAGACTCAGGAAATTGGCAGCTGTTTTGTTAAGTGTTATAGTTATAAATGGTTTGTAATTATCACTTGCATAAGTCTATTTTTAATCTTATAACACATCCGTGTTGGAGAAATAGGTAACTGTTACTATGTGCATCGTTGGCCAAAGCTGTCCAGGCCAGTTTTAGTATTTTCCTGGACATGTCTAGTACAGACCTAAAGGAGTCAAAATTTAAAGACGGGAATTGGAACGACTCCTAATTCTCAGTTTTTACTGGATGTAGAAATAATTATTTTTGTATTCATGTAGTTAATGGTTTTGAATGATTATTACATGTTGAGTTAGATGTAAATCAGTTTAAGTGGCTACTAAATAGTAACTCATGGAGTTACATCATCTATTTATCTATGTATATACATTCAACTATATGTCCTTGGGGGGGAGCACTTCAGCCAGGGTGGATGATTTTCATTTGATTGGAATGAGCAGATATCCTTGAGTGACGTTAGAAGGGAGACATGAATCTGGTCTTTCTATATTGGTCTCCATTTCTGTTTGTGCTTTATTATGAGTGGCTGGTCCCTGAATTCAAGGAATTTATTTCAGCTGGGGCTTACTAGAAGTACCAGCTATTTTTTCCAATGCTGGACAAAAATCTTAATGTTTTAGAACAGATGTAATTTTCACTATACCACTCTGAAATCTGTCACTTGGCACAGTTATTTAGAGACCATTTTAGTTTTATTGAGATGATTAGAAAAGTTTGCATGATGTTTTCCTGGAGTTTATTTCTCTTGACTTTTTTTATGTAAAATCGGATGCAGTCTTTTTCATTACATAAAGGATTTGGCCAAATGGCTTGTTTTTGGTTATTTAATGTTAGTGTAGGTAGTTTTCCCTTTTTGAAGGAAAGTCAAATATTTATTAAAACCTTGTAATTTTCCTCTAAAGTCAATAGATGATTTATGAAGCAGGTTTACTTTCCTTGAACTCACAAAGCAAGAATTAGCCTGATTGCAAATAAGCAATCTCAGAATGACCACAAGTGTCAGTGTTTGCCTGCCTTATTTTTCTCCTTCAGTTTTCATCAAGTTGCGCTGCCGATACGCATGTTGTTTAAGAATTTCTTTTGACTTGAAAACAAAGCTAAATTTAAGTGTCTCTTTCAGAACTAATTATAGACACCTTTATCTGTTTTAATTCATGCAAACTATTAACAACGAGCGTTTAAAATCAGCAGTGATTTGGCATATACCTTATTATGCTTGTGTATTCCTTGATTTTTCTGTGGCACAGCCGTTTCAGTCAGGAATAATACTCTTAGAGCTGTGGTTCTCAAGGGGGCAGTGCTAGGGGTAGTACTGCTTTCTAGGAGGTGTTCTAGAAGTTTGTGAGGGTGTTTTCAGTTAACAGGATGACTTTTAAGGGCATTTCAGGACCAGGGGAGGTAGTAATGCAGTGGTGTGTGGGACAGTCTTTGTAAACAACAAAGGCTAGCTCTGTGTTCTGCAGGACTTCTGAGTGTTTCATTGGGTATATGTGTAGGTGAAACACTTTTTTTATAATTAAGTAAATTTAAAACATAATTGGAACATAAAGTATATTTTTTTCAGTTTTAACATGCACTGGATTTTCTAGACATGTAACTACATGTACAATGAGGGAAGCTTGTACTTTGCTATGTTTTAAACATTCCAATAGTTCACCATTGCAAAAAATCAAAATTATGTTCTTGGCATTTGAGTCACCAATGTAATATACCAGTCTGTGGGCATTTGTAATTGTTACATTCAGTATGACTTGATGTATAGGAATAGCATCTGGTTAGTATGTCTTCTGGTATAATCGTGTCTAAGACTTACATACTGAAATGCATATTTTTTATCATAATTCCCTTTCTCTCTCTCTCTCTCTCTCTCTCTCTTTTTTTTTTTTTTTGGGTCACAGTCTTGCTCTGTTGCCAGGCTGGAGTGCAGTGGTGTGATCTCAGCTCACTGCAACTTCCACTTCCACCTACCGGGTTCAAACTATTGTCCTTCATCCGTGTCCTGAGTAGCTAGGATTACAGGCATGTGCCACCACACCTGGCTAATTTTTGTATTTTCATTAGAGACGAGGTTTTGTCTTGTTGTAGGCTGGTCTTAAACTCCTGACCTCAAGTGATCTGCCTG